GAGCTGTGCTCGGTCCGTATTGTCAAGACCTCGGGCGATATTCTCCCAGTATGGCCCTCACGCTTGGTTAATAAGATTATATGTATTGAATATATTGTATTGTATATACTTCTTTCCAGGGATTTCTTGTGCAATACAGGGTAGCATATATAAAGAAAAAAATCTGCTATGGCAAACTTACCCAAAATATCTCTTGCGGTCTGTTCATCATCATAGGGTCCTAACACCTCCTGGTCTATCAGTAGGTTATAGTGCAGACTGCAGTCACTGTTATTATGGATCATTAGCTCTTGAGATGCAGAGCTTCCCACTACAATGTCTCCAAATGTTACAGCCTCCTCTAGACACTTAGAAATGAAAAGAATAAATTAATGCTCAAATTCTCTTTTAGTTCAGAAAAATATGTCATATCTAGAAGTCTGTATAAGTAAAAGAAATGAACGCAAATGGGAAGATACCCAGTGGACAATATGCTGACTTAACTCCCAAAATGATTAACCTGCAACTTTTCCCTTCAATATCCATACATTATACAGCAAACAGGTAATGAGAATACTCAAACCTATCAGGCAGGAGTTGTTATCTTGATCTAACACCAACTACTCATAACTAAGTTACACTGAGATATGTAACAACCGGAGGGGAGAATTAACAATCAGATCTTGGAAGTTCAAGAGTTAACTGCTTACCACAATTTCTCCAATAGATCCTTCACCAATAACTCTCACTAGATAGGATTTACTTTCTTGTGCCCTAAACAAAGTAAAAACACTTGTAACTGAGGTCAACTATTCGCTTTGAATAATTTTCTGCTTTAAACAACTGTGAAAATGATGAAGATTTTTCAAATTCTCTGCACGTAGCCCTGCTACATTCTCAGTAACAAAATAAATTAGAACATAGCTAGCAGAGCAGCCCAATCAAATTCAGTATAAGTAAGCGTGCTCAAAATCCCGATAGTGCACACTTATATAGCGTGAGCAAATCACTTCGCCAGAAATTTTTTTTTTCACGCGAGTGGCCATTGTTAGCTTGGGGAAAAATAATATATTTCACGACAATAATGGATACAAACAGACTCGGCCTACTAGTACCAAAACGAAGACAATTTTTCGACCTTTCCCTTGGGCTAGAGTTCTTAAATGAGGCAGAAAAAGATAAAAACAACGGAAAAGGAGACTCAGCATCAGTGCCGTCACGATTCGCTTCAATTGATATTGCTGTCTGTTTTTCGCATCGGATTTGATGCACAATTCCACCAGCTGTGTTCTAAAACAATTGGTTCCTGCTTTCAGCTGTGCACTATCGAGTTATGAAACACGTGGGAAGTTTGGAGAGCACTCAAGAAGATAGAGTTGCCCTCGGCTATTGCCTCGGGCAACTCTTACACTTCTTTTGTGCTCTCCAAACTTCCCATGTACTCCATAACTCGATAGTGCGCGTTAAAGCATGAACCAATTGTTAATTTGCACAATTTGGTTGCATTATAATTAAATGAACTTGTGATAGGAAAATGACAATCCTTACTGTTGCTGGGCATCTGCCTGCAATCCTTTGACAGTGAGTTTTGTCTTAATCACCTATTTTTCTTCTTTACAAGAGTTAAAGCTGATGGTGTGAGCCTATAATGTAAGATAATAAGGA